CTATCGGAGTTCTGGCTACACCAAAATATCCTTGCCAAAATTTTCAAGAATATTGTCTAGATAGTGTGATTGTGTCAATATGAGACCTTCAGATGACTTGTTTATTTGGATGCCCAAAATCATGTCAGCAACTCTCATATATTTCATGTTAAAATTTGAATTTAACATTGTTTTATACATTTTATCATTTCATTGTTACTTCAAACAATAAGTATGTCGTCAACATATAGACATAGGATTACATATCCATTACAGTGGTTTTGACATACACACATTTGTCACACTCATTAATTTTAAATCCATTTGACATAATAACAGTGTAAAACTTTTCATGCCATTTCTTTGGTGCTTGGTTAAGTCTATATAATATTTTCACCAACCTACATACTTTATTTTCTTGTCTTAGAGCTACATAACCCTCAGGTCATTCCATGTAAATCTCCTAATCAAGGTCTTCATTAAGGAAATCAGTCTTAACATCCATTTGACGTACTTATAAACTTCGTAAAGTGCAATTGCAAGTATCATTCTTATATAAGTTATTCTTGATACGGACGAATATGCATCAAAGTAATTAAGACCTTCCTTTTTTTTGGTACCCTCTCATAATCAATTTAGCCTTGTACTTGTCAATTGTTCCATCTGCTTTCCTTTTTTGTTTGAAATTGCATTTAGAATTTAATGGTTTAATTCCATGAGGAAAATCCACTAATTCCCACGTATGATTCTGCATGATGGAATCACTTTCACTCTTGATGGTATCTTTCCAAAATATACTTTCAGATGAGCGTATAGCTTCACTATAAGTTAAAGGTTCAGTCTCTAGCATATAGGTTAAAGGTTCAGTCTCTAGCATATAGGTTAGAAAATCTTATCCAAATGACTTTTCTACTTGTGCCCTTTTACTTCTTTTTGGCTCTATCTCAACTTCTTTTTGGCTCTATCTCAACTTCAACCTTTTGTTGAAAGTATTGACTATTTTCATCAATAGTTTCAAAAATTAGTTTCTTTAAACTTGAGCCAACTTCCCTAGTCTTACAAGGAAATATATTGTTCAAAGAATGAGACACTTTTATATTCTAATATTGTATTTTTTTGAATTTCCAGATTCTTTAATTCATGCACAATAAATATATATACATTGTTGTAGTGAGCATAGCCAATGAAAAAGAAATCCACCATTTTATCACCTATTTCCACTTGCTTTGATAAAGGAGTCATTACCTTTGCAAGACACCCCCCACACTTTCAAGTAGTTGTAGGAGGGTTTCCTATCCATCCATAACCCATGTGGTGTCTTGTCTTTTTCTTATGGGACACCTTATTTAAAAGGTAATTTTATGATAAAACAACTTCCCCTACATGTTCTAGGACAACCTAGAACTTTCTAGCATGACGTTCATCATTTCCTTTAAGGTTCAATTTTTCGCTCTACTACTATATTCGATTGAGGAGATTATGGGGGTGTTACTTTATGAATAATACCATGTTGTGCACAATATTGACCAAATGGTTCAATGTATCCACCACCACGATCACTTCTCACGCTTTCAATCTTTTTGTTAAATTGGTTTTTAACTTCATACTTATAGAGAATAAATTTTTCTATAGCTTCATCTTTTCTTTTAAGTAAATATACGTAGCAATATTTTATGATATCATCAATGAAGGTAATAAAATGTTTATTTCATCCTCTTGTTTAAACAAATTTTAAGTCAAAAAAATCACTGTGTATTAGATCAAGAGGTTCCGTATTTCTTTCAGCTGGTTTAAACGAAGACCTTGTTACTTTTACCTCAACACACGTTTCAAATTTATGATTATAATTAATGTTAAATAAGGGAATCTGTTCTAAGTGAATTAATTTAAGTATAATATCGTAATTAATATGTCTGAGTCTATCATGCCATAAATCAAATGACTTAAGCATATAAATAGAAGAAGAAAAATCATTCTTGTTCATAGTTTTAGCTTTTACAGAGATAGAATTGAGTTTCCATATATCATTCAATACAACTCCCCTTCCCACAAATATTCCCCCTTTTGATAAAACTAAATTGTCAGATTCAAACACCATCCTAAAGCCATGTACATTTAGGAGGGTTTCAGAGACAAGGTTATTTCGTATGTCATGAACATATAACACATTTTGAAGCTTCAACTCTTTGCCATAAGTCATCTTCAAAATTATAACTTTCCCCTTGATCTTGGAAGTTGTTGTATTGCCCATATAGAGTTTTTTTCCTTTCTCACAAGAAACAACGTAGCAAAGGAGTCCTTGTCACAACAAATACGGCATGTGGCACCATTATCAAGCCACATTTCTCTTGGATTTGAATCAACCAAGTTGATTTTAGGGACCACATCACATCGGTCAAGTTCAGACACTAGGAAATTTCTATAACAACATTATCCTCTTTTGTTCAGAACCTTTTTGAAAGCCTACAATCGAATGACATGTGTCCTATTTTATTGAAATTAAAACATTTCCCTTGGAATTTTTCCTTTTAAAAACACCGTCTTTCAGTCCTAGTTCAGTTTCAATATGAGATTATTTTCTATTCTTGAAGTCTTTCTTGACTTTCACTACGTTTGTCTTCACAATTTTATGATCGACAGTTTTATTTAACCTTTTAGATACACATTGATTGTCTTCTTCAATCCGAAGTCTCACAATCAGATCTTCCACTGTCATTTCTTTTCTCTTATGCTTAAGATAATTCTTGAAGTCATTCCAAGCAGGGGGAAGCTTTTCAATAATGGCCGCCACCTAAATGGATTCACTTATAATCAACCCTTCTGCGAGAATATAATGAATGATCAGTTGAAATTCTTGCACCTAATTCACAACAATTTTAGAATCAGTCATTAAAAGGTTTAAGAACTTGGCAACTAGGAATTTCTTAGCACCTACATCTTCAGTTTTGTATTTATGGTTCAATGACTCCAATAATTCCTTAGTTGTTTTCTTTACATTGTACATGTCATAAAGTGCATCAGATAAACCGTTTAAGATGCAGTTATGACATAGAAAATCAGAGTGCTTCCATGCTTCGATAATAATAAAGGTGGTAGCAGCGTCCACCTCATCCTCTCTAATAGTAGGATGATCATCCTTAAAAATTTTGGCTAGATTCAATGTCGTCAAATAGAACAACATTTTTTGTTGCCACGTTTTGAAATTTTCTCCATTGAATTTCGTAGGCTTTTCACTATAACACATGGTCATAGGTAACGTTTGACTCGCAGTCTGAGTCTGTGTAGTAACAATGGCATTAGATTGTGAATTGGATAAAGTATGAGACATATTTCTATAATCAAAATCAAAATCGAAATAAATAAATATAATATGAAACAAAAGTATAAATTTGCCTAAATATATTATCATGGTAATCTGTTTGAGTTTAGATTAAACTACAACAAATAGGAATATGTCTTAAGATTGTAGCGAATATTGAATTTAGGGTTGTAGTAAGGTAATCTAATAATAGTAATAAAAAATATCGTAGCAATAGTAAAGTTGTAGTAGTAACGTAACAAAACATAGAGAAATAGATTAAAAGGTAAAATTAGAATAGAACATGTAATTGGATAGAATTGAATAAAAAGAAGATTTTTGTTGAGGCATGTATGAATAGTTTCCTTAAGACATATTTGTCGTCTCATCAATTCTTTAAGTAACGTTGGACGTCAGTCTGCTAGGATACAACAAAAAACGTTCATGACAATAAGCATAACCGTTGCATGTGAACAATCGAACATAATTTTTGTCTTTATCTATCACTGAAAAATGAAATTGGAAGAATTGAATATTTGAAAGGAAATGACTTGAAAGAAAATGAATTAAAGGAATTCAAAGTTGTGTGAAAAATGTGTCACATCTTAGCCTTTATATAGGGAGAGAAATTTGGACTGAAAGGTTAAGACATTTCAATAAAAGGACTTAACCATTTGATTTAAAAACATAACCTTATGATGAAATGACTTAACATGAAAATACTTAACTTTTGGATGAAACGTCTTAACTCTTTTTCACAAAAAAAGTTTGTGAATAGGCATGATTGAATAATTTATTCATACTTCTCCTACAAATCTTGACTTCTCTAGGAGTTTTGTTAACAATCGATCCTCCACTTGATGCATACATAATCTCTTTTCCTATAGGTAACAATCCCTGGTAAAAATATTGAATGAGAAGTTGAACAGAAATCTCATGTTGTGGACAACTTTCATGTAATTATTTAAAATTTCCTGATAATTGTGAAGTTTCTTAATATTTTTTTTATCGAATGTCATAAATTTCTCTCCTTATATTGGAGGCTCTTGAGGAGGGAAAATATTTTTCAATAAAGAGTCTTGTCATGTCTATCCATATTTCTACTGACTCAAATGGTAAGTATAATAGCCAATATTTTTGCATAGTCAACTAATGAGAATGGAAAAGCACGCAACTTGATTTGATACACGGTTACCTCTTATAGGCTCATGCTTAAACAAATAATGTGAAATTCTTTCAAGTGCTTGTGAGGGTTTTCATTTTCAAGTCTTTGAAAAGTTAAAAGTAGATGAATGAGTCTAGACTTGAGTTCAAAAGGTACCTCTAAATCTTGATAATCAATACACAACGAATGTTGTGAGACATCGGGTGTGGCTAGTTTTTTTTTTTTTTTTTTTTTGCTCAGCAATCAGAAGATTTTATTGAATTTATAGAATATCCCCATCTTGAGCCTCATTAAAAACCCCCCTAATCCTAAATGGGGGAAAAGAGTGCTCAAAAATGAGAAAAACACCAAAGACTCATAACATGAATTACACAAAAAGTATATGAAGCACAACTTAAACCGAACTTACCCCACTTCACCAAAGCATAAAAACAGTCTTCACGCTGCCCAGCCCCTAACCAACAATAGAATAAATCTAAATAAAACCTCCATTTCAATCAAGTTTACCTTCATGCTAAGAATACCATAAAACTGCTAGGAAAACTCTCTTTCTATACATCACCAGCTTGCCTTGAACAAGACTTTTCTCTTCGAGCCCATCTTTGCCAGATAATCTGCCATATTATTAGTACTCCTAGGCGAGAAAGCAAACTTTATCTCAGTTATCTTCATTGCATCCACATTAATTCCCTGAAAAATTGCCCCCACCTCCATGGTCGAGCTAAAGCATTTTGTATCCAGTTCAGTACTACCTTAGAATCAGATTCAACAATCAAACCAGTCTTCCCACACCAACAAGATTCAACAAACACGTCTAATGCAATTTTGATAGCTATAAGCTCTGCAAAATCTGAATTAATCTCTGTTACCGGCCCCAAAAAATATTGCTACTACATAACCTTCTGCAGTCCTCAAGATTCCCCCACACCCTGCTAACTTGTTCGTTGCTGAGCCAACCACATTAAACTTCATCTGACCCAACACTGGCGGCTTCCACACAGACTTGGGACGTTGTTGTACACATAGACTCGCTGACTCCCCTGGCCAATCCCACCAACGTTTCTCATCTAACACACTAAAAACCTTCAACGCCTTACACCAAGCATAAGCCCTCATCTTCACATATACTAGCAGATCTTTGAGATTCGTACTTTTACTCTTAAAAACTACATCATTCCTAGCCAACCATAGGCTCCATAACGCCGCTGCAAAGCTTACAAACCAAGCCAATGCTGTAGATTCTGTCCACCTAAACTGAAAACAAAACTCAAATATTTCATCCACTGACTGCAAATTAAAGCCTGGAATATGCCACCACCTGCAGAAAGCATTCCAAAAACAAGCCATAAAAATACAAGACACAAACAAATGATTTGCATCCTCTTCAACATCTCCATACCATGGGCACAATCGTTGAGCATCGGACAACTTAATTCCTCTGTTAAAGAGGAATACCTTATTTGGAACTCTGTTCAATTTAAGCATCCATAGAAAATATTTCACCTTCGGAGGGACTTTAAGGCTCCATATTCTATCAAAGTTAAACAAATATACGTCTTCAAAATACTCGTCACTGAGGAGCAAATATGTCATTTTCTTAACCTTAAATAAACCATCAGTCTCATGCACCCATATAATCCGATCAGCCAAAAATGAATTTAAACTCACATCGTCCACTTCGCGTTTTATAATTCGAACAGTATTGAATTCCCTGTCAAGAAATTGACGCTCAAACAAAGCTGCTGAATCTAAGTTTTTCCATTCACCTGCAGAAATCATGTCACGCACCGTAATATATTTCCTCAACGCTAGCCTGTAGATATGAGGATGTTGGGATTTTCGCCATTTTGCCTTAAATTGTTATATCGAAACATAGTTTAACAGAGGATATCTTGATCTTAAAGGACTTTCCCCAAGCCACACATCCTCCCAAAATAAAACTGATTTCCCATCACCCACTACCCACCTAAAAGATTTCCCACTCATCCATTTAGCTATACTTTCACTAGATAAGTTTTTCACGATCCCTCTCCAAGTTATCGAAGCTTTCTTGATATCTTCAAGACTAACCAACCAAGGCAGATCACCTGAGCCATATTTGTGACTGATTACAGACCTCCATAATGCCCCTCTTTCCATAGCAAATCTCCAACCCCACTTAGAAAGCAACACCATATTCTTTGCCTTTAGATTGATTATTCCAGCCCCACCTTTCTTTTTCGGACAGCACAATCTACCCCAACTCACCCTTGGCAATCTATTTTTGTTTCCATCACAACCCCACAAAAAACCTCTTCTAATCTTATCAATTTTTGATATAACCGCTTTTGGAATAAGGAAAATCAACATATAATACAACGACAACATTGACAACACTAAATTAATAAGAACCACTCGCCCAGCAAAAGATAACGTCCTGCTTTTCCAGCCCACCAATTTAGCTTTAAACTTTTCAATAATAGGTTCCCAAGTCGAAAATCTTCTAGGATCTGCACCTAACGGAATTCCCAAATATTTAAACGGCAATGCACACACAGAACAACCACCCAAACTAGCTAGTTGTTTTAATCTAGCTTCTTCCACCTTCACCCCTGCTAAGCACGACTTTCTAAAATTAATGCTTAAACCCGAACCCAATTAAAAGCATCTCAAGATTCTCTTAACATTGACCATACTTCTTTGATCTGGATGAATGAACATTATCGTATCGTCCGCGAATTGCAAATGAGAAATACTTATGTTTGGTGCCACATTTTCAATACCTTCAATGAATCCTTTGCGAACAGCTCCTTCTAACAAAAGATGAAGAGCCTCCATTATCATTATGAACAAAAAGGGGGACAATGGATCTCCCTGCCGTAAACCTGTGTACATTTTAAATTCTTTTGTAGGAGACCCGTTTAGAAGAACAGAAACTCTAACTGTCGAAATACATTCCCAAATCCAGCGTCTCCATGTGCTTTCGAAACCCATATTGTGCTGAACAGAGTCTAAAAACTCCCAATAAACACAATCATACGCCTTTGCAAAATCTAGTTTTAAAATCAATCCACCTCTCCCTCCACTCTCTATATTCAAAGAATGAATGACTTCATTTGCCACTAAGATTCCATCGAAAATCTGTCTTCCTGCTATAAATGCACATTGTGTCTCACTAATCACTTTTCCAATCACACCTCTTAATCTCCTTGCTAACACTTTAGCAATTATTTTGTACAAGCTGCTCACCAACGAGATCGGTCTATATTCCGAAATTTCAGTCGGATTAGCCACTTTGGAATCAATGCTAAAAAAGATGAATTGACATTCTTACCCAATTTTCCATTCCTATAAAACTTATCCTTGGTCTTCATCAAATCTTCTTTTACCCACTCCCATGCTTTCTTAAAAAAGACTATATTGAAACCATCCGGACCCGGAGCTTTGTCCTTCCCACAACTCCACACAGTATCCTTAACTTCTTCAATGGAAAAAATCACTTCAAGCCCTTCTGCATCCACCCTTGATAGTTGTTTGAACGGCAAATTGATCTCCGTCTTCCACTTCTTTTCCTTGCGTCTAAAATGGTTGCTAAAGAAATTGAAAACCTTAGCTCTAAGTTTGTCCGGCTCAACATCATCGACCTCTCCCAAATTAGTTCCCAATATCAATCGCTTTTTACTCTGAATCTTAACTGCTCTATGGAAAAAAGCGGTGTTTTCATCTCCCAGTTTCAGCCAGTTCGATTTTGATTTCTGGCGCCATATATCCTCCTTTTCCTTCAATGTATCCCATAACCTCCTTGTGCAGCTCAGTTGTTCCTCTCTTTCTCTGACATCTAAACCATCAGCATCACTCTTTATATCTAACTCATTAATCCTCTTCTCCAATCTTTTTGCTTCCATATCAAAATTCCAGTAGTTCTGTAAATTCCATTTCTGAAGTGCTCCTTTCACCCTTCTTAATTTCACATTTAAATCTACATCACCTTCTTTTTCGTGCTACAATGTTTTCTTAATAATCTCAATACAACTCTCCTGATTTAACCAACAATTAATCAGTTTAAACGGTCTAAGTCCCCAATCCACCACTCCATTCCCTAATAATATAGGAATATGATCTGAAACTATTCTCGGAAGACCAAAAAGAGTTACATCACTATTTTCATTAAACCATTCATCCTCCACAAAAAATTCTATCTAAACGACTCTTTCTATTTCTCGGTCCAAACCACGTAAATTTTCTCCCCGATAAAGGCATGTCAAATAGATTACAAGCCTCTATGAACGAATTGAACTCTACAATCTCCGTTTGTCTGTAAGAACACCCGCTTCTCTCGTTGTTACTTCTTATTGCATTGAAATCACCTGCCATGAACCATCTATTCTTACTTTTCCTCCTAACTTCCACAATTGCACTCCAAACTATGACTTGTTCAGATACTTCACAATGAGCATAAACATTCATAACAGAAAATGACAAATCATGCGGAGCATACTTCCCTTCTATCAAAATAAATCTATCTGTAATTAAGCTATCCAAGATCTGAAATCTACTTTTATCCCAGACAGACAGAATACCCCCAGATTTTCCCATTGCTTTCGAGAATCTAAAATCAAAATCATCATTACACCAAAAACTACTAATTTCAATATCCTTTAAATCCTCCTTCTTAGTCTCTTGTAACAATACCATCTCAATTCTATAAATCCAAATAAACTTTCTAAGCTTTGAGATCTTCACATTAGAACCCATACCTCTTATATTCCAAGACATAATTCTCATCTTGGAGACTCCCCCTCTGCTGCCTTCTAGAAATCAATGGACAGGGATTGGGACTCTCCTTCAAGATCGTCCCCAGCTGCAATTTCCTTAACCAACGCCTCCTCTGAGCCTTTAAACTGAATACCCAGCTCTCTACCAATTTGTAAGGTTTTCCTCGCTTCTGACTTTTGCCTCTGCCAACGTTCTTGAAGATCCGAATCAGACAAGGACCTTCCTTCAAGTTCAGTCAACTCTTCCTCACTTAGCTCATTCCTATGGATTTTCTTCACACGACAGTTTCTAATCTTTCCTTGAGTAACACCATATTTTTCTTGAATTTTTTTGATAGAACTGTATTTCTTAATTTTTCCCTCCTTTGCTCTAAAGTTCTGCTTAGGTTTTGGAATAAAATTATCATCGCTCATTTGCAAGCAGAGCCCCTTTTCCCATTCTTCCCCCTCCCATCTTAAACTGGACTTATTTACCTTCGGGTCTGCCAAGAACCCGTCCAATTGTTCCTTATTGGATCATTTCTTAGCAAAGGAATTTGTAAGGCCCAAATACTCCGAAACCTCCACCGCCTTTGCACCTAACCCCCCTTCCCATATAGACAAAACCTTTAGATTCTCATTAATACCTTCATTATCGTCCACCACCTTAACTAGTAATCTGCAATCATCTTCTGCCACCTCCACCTCATTTCCCTTCTCCACCTCGTATTACTTTTGAGATTTCCCAGAACAAACATCATTGACCCTCTGACCCACAATTGCATCCTCCCCTATGTTTCTCTCTACTTCTTCCCTCCCTGACATACAGCCGCCTCTTGGAATGTTCCCCATGCACATTAAATAACTATCATCTTCCTCATGCCAACTCTCTGCCTTCTCCTCCTCCGTCGTCTCCATACTCTTTACTGTCGACGCACTCGAATCATCGGTGACTAAATTGACTTTTGCTTCTTTCTTGTGACTGCACGTATCACTTCTACTAGTAGTCTGTTCCACAACTCTTATTTTAAAAACATCCCTTCCTGCCTCCAAATCAACCACCTCATCAATTAATTCCTTTCTTCTAGTTGCTATCAAGATAGTCATCTCCTCACAACCCGATTCCTGAAGAGCATTTTCTCCCATCGCCAAACATTCCCCCCATAGCTCAGAAATCCTTTTGAACGTGTTATGGTTCCAACAGTGTAATGGCACACCTATTAATTTGATCCAGGTTACCCTTTCAGACGCTCTGTATGATTCTGTCCAAGGATTAACTTCCAGGAAAACTTCCCGTAAGAATGACCAGTTATGCTCTTTCATAAACGTATAAAGCTCTTTGTCCACGAATTCTAAAAGAAAATCTCTTCCTCCCATAAACTTAATCCTAACCTCTCCCAAGCCCCCTGCACTTAATCTGTCAACCACCTGAGTCGAAGAACATATCGTTGCCATAGTACCTACGAGGCATTTCTGCAACTTTCGAACAACCTCATCATCAATAACTCCCTGTATGGACTTGCTCCTCCTTCTTGTCTGTGTCTCAGAAACTTCTTCCGCAATACTTTTATCGTTAGGTACCCTTATGGCTGTATTGGAATTGGAAGGACTATTCAAGTCTCCGCTTGAATTCTTTGTTCTATACCTTGCTTCCTTCACTGAAAGTCGAAATCCGAAAAACCAAAATCCATTGAGTCTTTGCATCGCTCTCTCTGTATCTTCTTTTTTTGAGAATCTAACAAAACCAAATCGCTTCCCCAATCTGTCATTCTTCCTAGCTATGTAAGAGCTGACAACATCTCCATGCCTACCGAATAATTGTCTCAGTCCACTCCAATGATACCTAGGAGGAATATTCTGCACAAACAGAGTTTGGATCTCGTCTACCTTTCCTGAAGCTTTTGCCGACGATTGAGGTCAAAGGTAAAGTAACTTGCTCGTGTTGTCTCATTTTTTCATATGATTCTACTTCTTCAGTTGGAGAGGTCAAAGGTAAAGTAACTTGCTCGTGTTGTCTCATTTTTCTCAATCGATGTGCAATCCTTTTAATTGTAGGATCGAACTCAAGTTTACCTGCACATGAAGAATGAAGCATAAAAAGTAAAAATAAAAAATAAAATAAAAATTAACCTAATTGACATCACTCTCCGGTAATAACACAAAAAATTAGACATGTTGTCGAAGCCTTCAAAAATAAACAAAAGAAAATAAATTAGAGGGGAGTATGTATAATGCAAATCAAATTAAAAGACTGAATTAAAGAAAAACAATTAAAAATAAATTGGAATTCAATTATGATAAGATATTCAGCTATGACAAATCGCAAAATTTAATTCATGATTCAGTCATTGATTTTAACTTAGGATTATCAAAGCTCTTTTTGAATAGATTGGTTATAGTTACTGGAGACATCCTAATAATCTAATCAATTCTTAGTTTATCGTTAACCAAAGAGACACCCAAATGATTAATTCCCTTGTTATTAGACAATCTCACAAAGATGCTTTTAGGATTTAATCTTTTTAACAACTTCATGAATTAAAGAGACATAATCCTTATTTAACCAATTCACACCAGTCCGGATGATTCAAACTAGATCTTATATATTCATAACTTGTTCTTAGGTATTTACTACTTGTATTAAAGCTGGTCCACAATTATGGATGAAAAGATTTCAATTAGTAATATAAAGATTTAATTAATTGTAGAATAATTAGTTCATGTGATTTATAAATCGGTAATAAAAAATAAAGAAGAAATAATAATATTCAAAAAGAAAAAAATTAAGATCATAAAACATTGTATATCATTGAATTAAAAATCTTGAAATAATATCCTTGACTAGATGAAAGAGTTTAGCAACTCATTAAGAAAGAGAAAATATAAGAAAAGAAACAAAAAATGAGATGGATGTTTTTATTTTTTCCCAATGATACTTTAAATAGTAGTGGTCGCGAGATATAATTTAGCTTTTAGATTAGATCATTTTAACTTACCTTAATCCTAATACAAAATATGGATAAGAGTTTAAATTGTATGTTATAAACCTATTAAAAAACAAAGATAGAGTTTCAATGAGAGAAGGATTAATATCTATCCTTTAAGTGTCAAACTTTATCAAAATCCTCAATTTTAGTTCTAATATGTCCCAAACACATATCATGACCTGAAATATACAAAAATCTAATAAAAGAAAAACTTATAGATAATTTAGATCACTAAAATATAGAAAATATTAATATGAAATATATGCAAAATTATGATTTATTAGGTCCAAACAAAAAAACAGGTGTTGACAATTGACTGCTGATAAAGAATCAAAAGGGTGACTAGACTGACTGCAAATTCTAGGTGGGGGGTTTTCCCTGGGAAGAAAATTAAAAAGGGTAAAACTAGAAAGAGGAAATTAGAATTCTAAATTATATTAATTATCTTAGGCTGGATTGGATAATTTTAGCCTTAAATTCGACTACAATTAGAATTCCATTCTTCCATGCAAAAACTCAATCTATTTTTTTTTCTTTCAAAACAATTAATCCTATTAGACCATATCGAACTATTCATATTTGATCATCCTATGTATTACTATGGATGAAGGGTCCATTTATTTTACGGAAATTTTGAAAAATAATTTCCGTAAAATGAATTACATTTTTTTGAAAATAATTTCTAAAACAATTATTTATTATAAATATCTAATATAGTAAATAATATTATTTATTAGGAAAAATAATAATATTATTTTTAAAACATTAAAACAATTTATTTAATATTATTTGTACAATGTTATAAAAAAAATATTAGAATATTATATTTTACTAAATTAAAAATATTATTAATTATACAAATTATTTATTAAAAGAAGAATATTATACTATTAATATATTAGTTATTGTTTAAAACAATAATTTTATTATAATATTAAAATATATATTATTAAAATATTATATTATATTATAAAAAATATTAGTAAATATATTTTAAATATTTAATATTATATTATTAATATTATCTATAAATATATTTTTATAATTAATGTTACATTAAAATGATAGTAAAAATAGAATATTAATACGAAATACATAAAATAATATTATTTTGAGTATTTATGCTTTAAAGTAAAAAATTCAGAAAATAAATTATGGAAAATCAAATCTTAAGTTATTTTTCAGAAGATATAAAGAAAATTGTGTTGACTAAAATAATAAATTACATTAACCATATGTTTTCCACCAATCAAACACTAAAAAATGAAAAATACTTCATCCTCAAAACTATTTACAGTAAAACAAACATACCCTAATTATCAAATTCTTGAGGACCACGGGATGGTTAATTTTATTGCCCTCTCCAATTTCTAATTGTCGCAGCCGTCTTTCGTGTTGGGCCCATAATTGGGCTTTGACTTGAATAAGTGGGTTAGAGCCGTCACTGATCATTTAAAAAATTATTTAGGTTGATCGGACACCATCTTACCTGATCTGCGTTTTACCATAAATATATCGGATTCGGGAGTCGGTTCCAGTCAATGAAGGATTAGCACCCTTGTACTGCTCTTTCGGTACTAATTTAATTTTCAGTTGTCTTAATTAAGAAAAGTATAAGTTAAATTAAAAAGTGAAAAATTCGATCCAAATTACTTACCTTTAATTGATTTAAGAATACCCTAAAAAGGTTAAAAAAATATATAAAAAAATGAAGTACTGAATTGATCAAAAGAAAAAGAAAAAAATTAAATTATAATATTTTAGACAAAAACAGAAAAAGAAATATATACACGCCGATAAATAGAAATTAACATAATGCAAAATTGAAATAAATAGAACAAAAATGAGTCACACATATTCAAAACACAAAGTAATAAAAAATAATGTAAATAAAAAGTCAATTAAAATAAAAAATGTCAATTGAAAAATTAAATACAAACAAAGAAAAAAATTACTAAAATTAAGATAAGAATAAAAAAATAAAAAAAGAACGATTATTATCGGATTAATGAAT